CACCTCCAAGGACCAATTGGGCTGAAAAATCATCAAATTGGACCCACAATGGATTTAAGCAAAAAGGCCGAAAACTCTCTTCTCTTTTCTCTAATTCTCGGCCCAAGTGGGAAAAAAAAGAGGAGATTAAGAGAGTTGACTTTTATGTTGACACCTCATGATTATCCAACATATCTCTTAGTAATATCTTCCATGTATCCAGCATATTTCATGTATCAAGGTAAGCTCATTTCTCTCCCCTCTCTCCTTATCTACGGCCGAGAGCTCCACACACACCACCATTTTCATTTTGATCAAACACTTACAAGAAAAACTCTCAAGAACTCTTCCCTTTTCTCCAAATTTTCGAGCATTGGTGTGTGACTTCAAAGAGTTACCAATTAATATCATCATCTTGGTAAGTCTTTACTTGAATCCATGATCTAACTACTTCATTTCATCAAAATCTCCTCTTAATCTATTCAACTCGTGATCTTGCATCTTAGAACACATCTAAGCCAAAGATCCTCCAAGAAGCTTGTTAGGCCGAGATTTGCATCAACTTCTTCCATTCTTCTTCAAAACCGAACCCACAAACTCAAGGTGAGTTCATACCACTCTCTTTTCGGTTTTCATAAGTTTTATGGGGGAGAATACAAGTAAAATGTGTAGATCTATGTGTATGTGTATGCTATGTATGATTTTATGCATGTATGTGTGATTTTATGTGCTTATGTGTTGAATATGTAAACAAAAAGGGAAGAAAACTCGAGATCTATGGCATGAGTAAGAAAACAAACATGAACAAAGTTATATTACACTAAACAAGTCAAGAAAATTACCCTCCAAGATTATGATAAACATATTGTAACATAAAATCAATTTTTGGACTTAAATTGTCAAATAAACAAAAGTTAAGTTAAAAAAATTGCCATTCACGGTTTTCTCAAGGGCTAAAAGAGTCAAATCAGTTAAAATAAATGTTTTTATGAATATTATGCTCTTCAAAGGACTTGAAATGTAAATATTAGCTTAATGGGCCAATTTTTGGGCTTTTCGGCCCATTAAGCCCAAAGTTGCGAAAAACATGATTTTCAAGGGGCTGAAATGGTAAATTCTTCAAAACAGGGGATAAGAAGTTAAACAAAACTATTTCAAGGGTTAAAAATGCTTTTCTTTTCCAAAAAGGATCAAAAAAGTAAAGTTTTTGGATTTTGGGCCAAAATTGTAAAAGTTGTAAAAAGTGTGGACTTTAACCGAAAAACACTTTTCTGGAAGGGCTGAAACTGCCAAAGAATAAGTTTTGAGCCAAAAATATCACTTGAACAAGTCTATGGGTCAAATGTGTTAAAAAATGGTTTAAGGGCTAAAATGTCTTTTTTTATATATAAGGGACTAAAATTGTCATTTTTATTAAAGAAGGGCTAAAAAGGTCAAAAACTATATTTTGAATCAATCTTTTACTATTAAGATGTTTGAGTCAAAAATACAAAACTACAATTCATGAAGATGAATATATGTATAATTCCAAAATCGTTAAAAACAACCGAACGGCCTCGCGCCGATCCAAAATTTTCAATCGTTAAATCAAACCTTCCAACAATTATGCAATACCTAAAACAAGTAAACATTCAAAACTTTGGGCTTGAAAGTTCCAAACATGCTTGATGGGCCTTTGTGATCCATTAACATGATTTTTGGGCCCAAGGGATAATAATGATAAATGTTATTGGGCCTTCTATGACCCAATTTCATATTAAAGGGACCCTCAATGGCTTTTAAGTGCTATTGGGCCTTAGTGGCCCATTAGCATTGCTAGTAAGGTCTAAGTAATCAAATACGAAATGGGCCAACGTGTCCTTCGTATACCCAACAGCCTAAAATAACTCACGAAAGTAGCACGGCTTTGTATTCCTCTTCTCCTCGTTTGTTAGGCTTATGCGTAATCAAAGTAAACAAATTCAGGTCGTTAATCAATAGTAATCAATGTTATTTGGGTTAAGTGATTAATAACGGGCGATACCTCCAAGGGTCGTTCGTAGTCTGTAGTTATAATCAAAGTCTCCTGGAAGGAAAGCGAGAGTTTGTGTATAGATCTATACGGGGGTGACTCCCCCACACCTCAGCTGTTCGCTACAGTTAGACTCGGCCAGTCTAGGGTGACAAAATCTTAAGATCAATCCCGGCGCACGATAGGTAGCCAAGACAGACGAACTAGTCATTATTATGCATGGTTATAACGACTCACAAAAATTAATTAATCCAATACCATCCGAATAATCAAGGAAGAGTAATCAAAATCATTCATTGTGGCAGTATAACAATTTGAGAAGTAACTATATTTTATGTATTCGGAAAACATCGGGTTTTTCGAGGAAATCAACATCACTCGCTTGTATCCTTCTATAACTATAATACAAAACTCCCTTTTTATACACGTTTTGAAATCATTCATGCATCAACTTATGGATCTCCACACTTTGATAAACAACTGTCTTTTCAGAAAATATCGGATTTTCTGGGTTTTACAAACTACAGAAATCATTTTTATCACAACCCTGCTTATGAACTCACCAACATTTCATATGTTGACGTTTTTCAAAATAACTTGTATTCTCAGGTAACAGGTAAGTTGCAGGGTAATATCAAGTACGTTAGGATGTTATGTTTTAAAAACTCTCGAACAATTTATGTTATGAATGTGTAATGTTTAAAACAATGTACTGGATGTAAACAATATCAGTTGTAATGTATTGATGCATGATGATGTTTATGTTATGATTCATGTATATTCATTGTGATGATATTTAATTTAAGTCACGCGAGCCCTCAGACGTTTCCGCCGTCTGGTTTCGGGGGTGTGACATCCTACCACATCTTCAAATCTCATTGCATTGAGATTTAATACTTGTTCAAGTGATGCAACAATATGTAGGAACTTGGATCGTGGTAAGGTTTTAAGAATTTATTTACAAGCTTGGATTCTTCTATCGTTTCTCCTAGTGTTGTTGCTTTTGATGCTATTCCGGACAACTTTCCAGCATAATCATCTATCGATTCAGTCTCCAACATCTTGAGCCTATCGAAATTGGACATGAGAGTTTGCAAGCGGGCTTCTTGAACACGTGCTGCTCCAACGTGCCTTGACTTGATTGCATCCCAAAGTTTCTTGTTCGTGTCTTGATCGCCTGTTTGAATAATCAAGCTCTCCGGAATCGACCGGTACAATAACCCCATGGCCAAATCGTTTTTCTCTATGTTGTGATGGTTCCTGGGTCATTACTTCCCAAGCTTTGTGAATCTTTAACGCTACATTCATCCTCATAGCCTAAATTATGTAGTTTGTAGTTGTCAACATCGGGAAAATGAACAGAGGTTGCTCCGATTTCTTTTGATGGCACTAGATTTGAGGTGTCACCCGTCATGGTGATTACTCAAATTAGAAAAGAAAAACTCGAAATCAGAGAGATTGAAAGTACTGTTCTTTCAAGATCAAAGCAGAAAAACGGGATCAATTGTTGATCAATCAATTTCAAACTAATTAAGTTCAATCGACGAATATTGTTCAAATCAACTCAATTGTGAACAGAGAAAAAAAAACTTAGCACTGTTTTGAACATTGTTCTATCGATTTAATGTTTGATCAATTACTCCAAACCATAAACGATTACTCCAAAAACGATTAAGTCGATTCCAATTGATCGATTACACTTGGCGATTTTGCAATTCACTTAATTCAAAATCAAAACCGATGATTACTGTTTGATTGACAATTTCAATCGACAATACTCCAATCGACAATTCTTCAATTTGTGATTGTCGACAACTGAAGATCAATCGTTCAATTAAGACATCTTGTGTAACAGAAAAAACGATCGATTATTAAAATCGATTGTTGCAGATGTATCAACTCGTTCACAGAAACCTTTGTCTATAGAAGGTTTATGTCGACAACAACTTTTGTCGAGTACCACCTGATGACCACTTGTGTTCTATCGCTGGATTTTTTTGTTTATGGGCTCTGATACCAATTCAAATCAGAAAAACAAAACATATGGAATAACTCTTCAATTTTATTGAGAAAATATCACTCAAAAACTCAATTTGATTACAACATAGATCATAACTCGATTCTATGAATGTATTTATAGACCTAGACTACCAAACTAGTACAATAAGACTGGAAAACAACTTTCTTTGTATAGGATCAAACCTCCTTGCTTGAGCTCTACTCAATTGATCTTCCTTGTGTCCTACTTGACTAAGGAATTCCTAACACCTTAAACAATACAATGGCAACAATGTTTATGCAAAATCATTCACAAATAACTTAAAAAAAAAAGATAAAGATATATAAAAACATTCATGGTTATGTAACAATGATTATGTATATAAAAAAATACTAATAATAAAACAATTGTTGACCTTAGTGAAAGACAATTGTTGACCTCACCTTGATTATCCCTGTCTCGGAACTTGTTTCCCTACTATCAAACAATCATCAATCACGAAATCACAATGAAGTGATAAACAATCAAAATTGGAGGAACCCACTTTATTTTGTTTGCGCATTGTCGACATATGTTCTACTCTTTTACTTCAAAAATCATTTTGAAACTAATATCTCCAGGCAGTTTACTAAAAAAGGGAAAAAAAAAAAAAAAAGCGAACATGTATATATTTGCAACCGGTGAACACAATTTTACCAGACAAAAATTACAATTTATATGGTCAATATTAATGAAGAGGCTTTACCCACAAACAGTTCAATATACTTCAAATGGGTTGAACTTTTTTCAATTGTGTCAATTTAGTTATTAATTAAATACCCATATTATATAACTCTAATATGGGAATACATTATATTATATAACTCTAATATGGGAATACATTATAGGTTATTACACATGTGTCCTTGACTAGTTTTATAACAATAAATTCCTTGAAAAAACGTACAATAATTTAATCCAAAGACAAAAAGAAAATTTATTAAAGAAAAAAAGAAACTGCTGCCCAGTGTTCACGCCATAAAAGCCATCTATCTCTCTCTCTCTCTCTCTCTCTCTCTAACATTGTGTAAGCAATTCTAAAACAAAATCACACGAACCAGACCACCATTACATAGATCTCTTCGCTCTTTCATACGTTTCGCACTTCCCCATTCTTATATTCTTTGTCGCCTATATTTACTCCCACACTCCTGGATTCGTTTCTATATATCTTTCTCCATCAGATACAGACACACCAAGTGCAAAGTCCTTTTCTCAATTAATCAATAAAAGTATTGGGGCAAATATCAGCTGCGATATCACTAGTTATTGTTGTTGGATGCTCTCTTTTTCTCACCAGTTCATGGTATGTTCTACTTCAATGTTTTTCCCCTTATTTACTCAATCAGTTTGTTCTAGATCTTTCAATTAGTTTCGTTATTAGGAGTCTTTTTGATACTTATCTCAATCACCCATGTTATATGATATCAATTTGAAATTGGGTTTCTGCTGTTTTATACATATTGATTGGTTTTGATGATATTCGTCTTTAAAGCCTTCGTGTTAGATGCGTCCTGGTAATTATCAACTCCCATAGATTTCACAATCCTTTAATTACTACGAAAAACTGAAGTTTTTTCGTTTCCCGATACAACTTTTTCGTTGTTTTGAGATCTCAAATTGCTACAAGGGGTTTGAAGAATTTTGTCCTTTAATCCTTTTTACCTTTTGCCAACTTTTTCTTTTTTCCCTAAAACCCATTGTTATCATCGATTTGTAGACGGGTGTATCCTCTTTTGATGAGATTGACAGGGTTTCAACTTTATCATTTTAGAAAACACTTCCCTCTTTATATTCTTGGGATAATTTTCACATTTCTTGGATTATGAAAAACAAACCACTAGATTAAAACATCTGGGATCTTGTTCTATTTTATTTTGATAACTGATATCAAAGATATACTCTTTAACTCGTTGTGATTTCTATTTCAGGGTGCAAGAAGGCTCTTAAAGGACTTTATGAGCCATAAAACAACATACCCACAACCAAAATCTCATAGTTTTGTGTTATTAAGATACAATCTTTGATTATTATTATTATTATTACCAATGGAGGAAGGAAAAGATCCTCCTACAACAGTTATAAGTAGGTCAAACCAATCTAGGGCTTTACCACAAAGACTTATTCAATTACTTGCCTTGTTTCTACTTTTATGTTTTGCCATATCATTATTTAGTATATATATGATCCGTAAAACCGGAGTAGTAACAACAGTGACATCAGCAATCCCCATGTTGCAACCATGTATACAAGCACAACCACAGAACAATCTTGACCATTGGATCACACCTCCTTCGAATCTTGTCCACACAATGAGTGATAAAGAGCTATTTTGGAGAGCTTCTTTTGTTCCACAGTTAAAAAAGTATCCATTTGCAAGAGTCCCAAAGATTGCCTTTATGTTCTTGACTAAAGGCCCATTACCATTGGCTCCTTTGTGGGAGAGGTTCTTTAAGGGGCACAACAGTCTTTATTCTATTTACATTCATTCACTTCCATCATTTCAAGCTCGTTTTCCATCAACATCTGTTTTTTATCAGAGACAGATACCAAGTCAGGTATGTTGAGCCCTGTTTCTTGTTTCTTGTTTCTTGTTATCTTTTAGCTTTAATGTATTCATGTTTATAAGATAGTTGCTTTAAAGACTTCTAGTTTTATGACTACTTAAGTATTACCATAAAAAGATGTGCAAATCTATAGGAAATATCATATAGATCAATTACCATATATTATGATTATTATCCACATTGACCCTTGTAATAATCCCAATAATAACTTAACCTATTAAGACGTTCTTTATGTGTTAAGTAAAAAAAGAAACACCCTTTAACTTAAGTTAGCTATATCTGGATGTTTCTTTTTGAGTTAATGCAGAAAGAACGAGTTAATAGAGAAAAACACAGAATTGAGGCTTCCCGCAATTAAGTCCTAACATTTTACAAATTTACCCTCATATATATTTTTCATTTCCACTTAAGGAGCTGTTTCTTTCTTGTTTCTCATCAATTCGTGTATGGGAAAACTGGCTGAATGGGTAATGAACATCTGTTTGGATAAAGTGTTGTATATACTATATACATAAGGTTTCTGGGCTAAATAAACCGTCTGAATGAGAATAAACGACCATTTTACCCTTACATTCCAAAAATTTCATAATATCCATCAATTGTAACAATATTCATCAATGAGAGAAGTTGGGAGGAAAAAAGAAGAAGGGTAAATAGGTAACTTAACCCATTAAGTCATTCTGTCCGGATTTAGTCAAAAAGAAACAACTATGTATAGTGTGCCAATACCATCATCATTTTCTCATAAACCTTTTAAACATCATTTATCCTGACAAAAGACGATTTTACCCCTGTTACAGATAGCCGAATGGGGTAGAATGAGCATGTGTGATGCAGAAAGGAGACTCCTAGCCAACGCCCTTCTGGACATCTCAAACGAATACTTCATTCTTGTATCGGAATCATGCATTCCACTCTACAACTTCACCATAACATATCGTTACATAACACGATCCAAATACAGTTTCATGGGGGCCTTTGATGACCCGGGCCCATTCGGGCGGGGCCGCTACAACCCCAACATGCTGCCCGAAGTCAACATTTCCCAATGGAGAAAAGGCTCTCAATGGTTTGAAGTCAACCGAAAACTCGCATCCATTATCATATCCGATGTCACATTTTACCCAAAATTCCTACTGTTTTGTAGGCCGGCTTGTTATGTTGATGAGCATTATTTTCCAACTTTGTTAACAATCCAGGCACCGAAACTGCTTGCAAACAGGAGTTTGACTTGGGTTGACTGGTCCAGGGGTGGGCCCCACCCTGCAACATTTGGGGCGATGGATATTACGGAGGAATTTATGAAGAAACTTCATGAAGGTCGGGAATGTGTTTATAATGATAAGCCGTCTTTGATGTGTTATATGTTTGCAAGGAAATTTGCTCCAAGTACTTTGGAAAGGCTGCTTCGTTTTGCACCTGAATTTTTGGGGTATTGATTTGATTGGAATTGGGATTGGAAAAGTTTTAAGACAGTTTTGTGGGATATATCATCATATATAGATTATGAAATGAATAGTTTCTTGCTAGATGTGAGGTTTTTTTGTACTTTATATTAGTTTTAAACGGAATCAGAAAACTGCCTTTAATTTGGTTGAACTTGTTGACCATGTTAGCCAAATTGCAAAAGCAAGAAAGCTTCTTCAAGAATTTTCTAAAGAAACTTCTTTGTGGGTTTTTTACATAAATTGGTAACAAGTTGAAACATGTCTGTATAAATTGGTAAAAAGAAATATAACTTTGTTTGCATAAATAATTGTTTTATCTTTTTATTTATAAGTTGACGTGAATGTTTTTTTTTTTCTCAAATTTGAAAAGTTTTTTCAGGAGTTTGTATAAAATCTATCTGTGGATACATTGCATATAATTTTCAACTTAATATAAATTGTAAATGTGATGTCATGTCATGTGGTGAAGGAGAATGTTGACTGTGCATGTGAATCTTAAGCATTCCAGAATAAAAAGAATACGTCATTGAAAATGTCACAATAATTTATTAATACGCATCGATATAGTTGACTCGGTATATCTATGTTCCGTTGTTCCTATCTACAAATTTAAGGTTTTATACCTTGTGATTTTGAACAATTTCAAAACATCATTAAAAAAAAGGCAGTATTAATCAACATCATAAATGCATGAATTTGAGTTGTTTCTAGAAAAAAACAACTTTTGACAAAAAATTAAAGATATCTGTTTTGGGGGTCCACTATTTTGGATTTGGCTTCCTAGTCTTATTGAGGCTTTTCAATACCTGACCTTGACCTTTACATAGCCGAATATTTAGTATTTATCTGTCTATATATGCATGATCCGATAGGAGCCTCGCTTTGTGGCTGTTAAACGGATGTTGTAGTATCTACAATCTACATGGCAACTTAGGTATTGGTCTTAAGATTTATGCCTTCCAGATTGACCGATGATGATGATGAGAGAGGGATGCCCTTCTACACATTGATCCACTTATGGTAGTCGTGTATATTTTAGTGACAACTTCCTCTTATGATCCACTAAACGACAACTTGCGATTAACCGTTTTGGCGTTGAAGTTGAATATTGTAATGTTTCTGAGACACGGTAGCCTTGTAATCTTTTCCATGAGACTCTCTCTACAATATCTAAAGCTTACAATTGTATATTGTAACAATGTGAGTGTTGTTTATCTTTCTTCGAATCCAATCTAATATCTGAGAACAAATAATATTCTTTTTGTCTGTAACAAAGTTAGCTATTGTTGACATTTCGTGTGCTTCACATTCCTTCGATCCTAATATGCCAATATATTTACCAAATGCATTTCCTCTCAATTGATTACTGAGTTTAAATGTTTAGTCTTATCCCACCTTCAAACCGTGGAGGAATATTAATGTATTTACTTGTGTATTATATTATACCAGCCCATATAAGATTTAATTAGACTTGTTTACCTCATGGCCTATGCCCATGTCATGTATAAGGTGATGTTTTTTTTTAAAGAGCTTCTAAACCTCTTATGTATGTGTCTCTTATGTATGTGTCGTGCACGCAGACAACGCGTAGACATTTTCATCTATAGAACGTTTGTTTTTTAGAAGACCACAAACACGTCCCCTTTTAAAGGGGATTTAGGCCAATGTCTTTCAACTTTCAAGTATTCTAAGCTAAAAAAAAGTCTAAGGTTAAAAAAATGCATACGTTTCCTCTTCACATACATTTTAATCTACACTTTTATTAAGTTATAAATAAATAAATAAAGTCTAAGGCCCCGTTTGTTTACCTCTTAATTGTAAAATTAAGAGGCAATGTCTGAAAAATTCAGATTCAGATCGTTTGTTTGGGTCTTATTTTTTACCTCTTAAAATCAAAAACACCTCTTAATTTTTCAGATATGAAACAAAGTCTGAATTAAAAAAAATAACGCGCATCTTGTTTTGCCCTAAACCACACGGTCGAACATAACCCACCTCCTCTTCTCCTGTTTGCGTCTTCCTCCTACGTTTTCTTCCCCGGTTCGCGTCTGCTTCCCTTCGCCTGTTCCCTTCGCCGCCGCCGCCGCCTGAAACAACGCCACCCAGCCGATCGTCGACGTCCCAGCAGCCTCTTCTCCCCGTTTGTTTCGTCCCAGCAGCCTTCCCAGCGTTTTCTATGCCCTAAAGTCGAAAATCAAAAACCGAAAACGTCGGTCTCCACTAAGTTCCGACATCGCTGGTGCCACACTCGAAAGCGCCGCCCTCTCCAGCGCTGGTTCCGCCCTCGACAACGTCGGTCTCCACCAGACGATCTCCGATCTCCTTCATTGGTCAGGTATAAAGTTTCTAAAATCACTCCACATTCTTGAAATCGAATTGTTCTCCTGATGTGAAATCTAAAATCGATTTAATATTCAGAGTTTTTAAATGTTCATATTTTGGGTAATATGTGATGTTTTGAATCAGTGGTTTCAAGAACATTACAAATTATGACAGGCTCCCCTTTTGACTAATGTCACTGTAATGTTGCTCAACAGCCACATCACCATAGTGATTCATTGCTTGTTCTACTTTATTCTTATGCACATGCTTGCTAGAAGCTTGATTCCATTATAGCTGCAAGTTAAAGTTTTTTTTATCAAAGAATACAAAATTACTTCATAATTGCAAGAAATTTGATGAACAATTGGTTTATGGTGATATAACTCTGAATAAATAGTCCATTGTAATAATGTTTGGTTACAAATTTGCATCTGACATGAGATGTTCTTATGTTTATTGTTTAATTTTGTGGAATTTTCTCATGTGTTTAGTGTTGAATTTAACTTTTGGTGCCTTGTTTTTAGTTTTTAGTGAATGAATATTTTTCCCGTTTTACAGGGAAGAAATAAGCTTTGTGAAGGCAAGAAAATACCTCCATTTTGTTGAATGAACGTGTCATGGCTGCAATGATATATGGGTTGTATAGGGATGTTTTCAATGAGCTTCCACATATCAGTGATTTGGAACACACATAATCATTAGATAATGTTATTGTACTTGTGGTGATGTGTAAATGATAAAATAGCAATGAAATTTTATTGATTTATCTATTATAGCATTATATTTTCACCTCTTCCAATTAGAGCATTGTATTTAAAAAAAAATCTATTTAGTTATAACAATGTCATCCAAAATGTTTCTATTTAGATTTTTGTATAATTTTGTATATTTAATTTTGAATTTGTATGATGTTTATATATTTTTTTTAACCATTAAAGGAATTGGTTTAATTATTTTAGAAAAATAAACATTGCATTCAGTATAAAATAATGTCTAGGGTAAAAAAGTTATTTTTATAATTCAGTACAGAAATTCAGAGGTTTCAACCAAACAACATATTAAATATTCAGATCTTAAAAACTCAGACCCTCTTAAAAATTCAAACCTCTTAAAATCAGAGGTTTCAACCAAACAACATATTAAATATTTAGATCTTAAAAACTCAGACCCTCTTAGAAATTCAAACCTCTTAAAATCAGAGGTTTCAACCAAACAGCATATTAAATATTCAGATCTTAAAAACTCAGACCCTCTTAGAAATTCAAACATCTTAAAATCATCAGATCTTAAAAATTCAAAAAATTCAAATCCAAACAGCCTTAGGTAAAAAAAAAACCGTTTCCTCTTCACAAAAAACCCTCCACCCCAAAACCCTCGTCGATCGCTGTAACATCTCTCACCGGTGAAAGCTTCGACTCCGGTGAGAGCCTTGACGCCGACCACCGCTCGCAAACGTCGCCGTACTTCTCCTCTGCTCAGCAACGTCTCCGGATTTCTCCTCTGCTCTGCAATTGCTCACACCAGCTGTCGCTCACGTCTTCACCATCGTCTCCGATCTCTGCTGCCACTGGTAAGAACATTTTTCCTGAAATCAGATCTTATCTTCTAGGGTTTGTTATATTTGTTGGAAATCAGATGTTGTTGTTGGTAAAATCAGATTAGTTTGCTGAAACACGAAAATCATATGTACATTTGCTGAAAATCAGTTTTATTTGCTGAAATCAGATGTTCATAGTTGCTGGAAATCAGATTTCTTTGCTGATATATATATTTTTCTGAAATATGAAAAATGTTGTTCAATTTATTGAAATTAGCTGTTATTGTTGCTGGAAATCACAATTTTTAACTGAAACTAAATGTATATATTTGCTGGAAATCACATTTTTAAATGAAGTTGGATGCAAGGTTGTTAACAGCGATCGCTACACTCGCTATAGCGAATAGCGTAGCGTAGCTGTGATGGGTCGGTACGATGCCTGTAGCGAGGCAATAGCGTGTGTAGCGATGTCCGGCAAATTTTTTTTTTTTTTTGTTTAAATCGGTAAGAAACGTAGCAATTAGGCTCAGAATAGGTTTAGGCGGGCAATCGTACAGTCAATTTCATGTCTTCCCCTCTAATCGACTAAGATTGTACGATCGGCGCCAAAATCGATTTTGGCGGGTTATTTCTCACTTCTGCAACAGTAGCGACAATAGCACACCTCACCAAAATCGATTTGTGGTATTGAAACATAGTTTTAGACTTTAGAGTCTAAAAATAACGATTCTTTTGTGGTATTAGAACTTAATTTTAGACTTTAGAGTCTAAAACTAACCAATCTTTTATGGTAAACATCTTTTGGAACTTAATGTTAGCTTAATAGAACTAATACTTGTTAGTTCTATGTTATTTTTAATTGTTGCATAGGTGCAAGTAAATATAGTGTTTAATTTTATAAGAAATCACAAAATATGAAATAGCTGTCGCTATTTCATCGTTATCGCTACGTAGCGTATAGGTGGGTTGTCGCTATTTCCTCGCTATCGCTATCGATAACCTTGATTGGATGTATATAGTTGTTGGAAATCACATTTTAACTGCAATTAGTTGTTATTGTTGCTGGAAATTGGAATAGTATTCATATCTGATTTTTATATGCTTTTTTTATTATTAGAAATGGGAGAAAACTTTGTGCAATTTTGTTTGATGGTATTGAGGGTCTATGAACATGAGAGCAGCATGGATGACATTGTTATATATTCCTGAGGTATTAAGAGGATGAATTAAGATGACGGCTACAAGTTTAGGACTAATAAAATTAGGAAACATTGCTTTTTTTTTTCTTTGCTTGTGTTGGAACCATTGATTGAGTTTTTTGCTTATGTTGGTACTTGGTAAACATATGTATGGTTTTTTTTTTTTTTGCCAATTTTGATTTATGATTCTATATTTATGTTGTTTATGCTATTAACAAGTTTCTGCGGTTTAACAGGCTCATAATGGATAACGATAAAAAAATACTTCTCGTAATACTTATGTACTTGTATCTCCGCTTTTTTTGGAAGAGAGGTTTGAAACGAATGCGAGACAATGATTCAGATATGTCGAGACATCAATACACGTTAGAGTTATTGCAAGGTGATCCCAAACAATGTGTTGAAATATTGCGTATGTCTCGTGAATCCTTTGTTCGATTGTGTGCACATTTTAGAGTAAATTATTCGTTAAAGGATAGTAAACATGTATCGGTTGAAGAAAAGATGGCTATGTTTTTGATGATGATCGGTCATAATCAACGTTGCGAGGTTATCAAGCATAGATTTGAACACTCAAAACAAACAATTCATAAATTTTTTTATGAAGTGTTGGATAAAATGATGTTTTTCGCAAAAGATGTGATTGTACCAACTTCTTTCAATCCGAATCCAAACATTCTGGGACATAATAAGAGGCTACGACAGGTTTTTAAAGGAGCAGTTGGTGCACTTGATGGAACTTTGATACATGTTATTGTCCCTACTAACAAACAAGATTTGTATAGAGTAAGGGGAAAAGGGGATTGTTATCAAAACGTATTGGCAGTTTGTGACTTCAACATGATTTTTACGTTTATTCTGGCCGACTGGGAAGGGGTAACACATGATTCAAGAATATTATCAGAAGCATTAGCGAATCCACATACACAATTCCCGTTTCCACCACCAGGTATGTTTATGGTTTGTTAAATATTTATATTTTAGTTTAAAATTTTAATTAGTTATTTATATTTTTACAGATAAATATTATCTTTGTGATACCGCGTATTCACACACTCGAGGATTTATGGCTCCGTATCGTAATGTGAGGTATTGGCTTTGAGATTTTCCTCAGAGACATCCATTGACCAATAAAGAAAAATTTAATCATTCACATGCAAAACTTCGAAATGTCATTGAACGTGCTTTTGGCGTCTTGAAAACACGATTCCCTATATTGAAGAAGATGGCACCATTTCCTTTGGTTACACAAAGAAACATTATCATTGTATGTTTCGCGCTACATAATTTTATACGGAAAGAGGGGTTGAGCGATGAGTTCTTTACTTAATATGAGCAACCCAATGTGTTGTTTCAAAATAGTCATGCACGCGTTGATGTTGATGATGGGGTTCAAGGACATAATACTGCAGCAGACCGAGATTACATGACTCGTTTACGAGATGAAATTGCTGAACAGTTAATGCAAAATATGGAATGAATGATTTAAAAAAAAATGTTATTGTGGTTGTATGATTTATATTTCAATGTTGGAAAACTAAAATTATTTAAATTTCAATGTTGAAAACCTCTTTAAAGTTAAAAAAACGAATTATTTAAATTTTAGTTTATTTTAGCAGTCTGCAGATCTTAAAAAAAACAGATTTTTTCTTGCAGACTGCAAATGTTTAGTCTACATCTTCTACTGCAGAGGTTTGCAGACGTGGTCAATAGACTGTAGACCTTTTGCCTCTAAAAAAATAAACACCTTAGACCTATGTGTTCGTGTGTTAACCGACTATTTAATTCTTATGTCATTAATGGAATAGAAATTAGTTTTAGGAATTATTCCAAGTTATAGAAATATTATGGAAATGGTATGTTATGATAAGACTTGGATATTATTACTATCCAATTTAATAAAAGATAAACAAAGTCAAATTTGACATGATATGGATCAGCTATCATGTCAAAACACATTGATGCCTATCAATAACATGCATATCAAACTCATTGGAGGTCCATGATAGTAAGTATAATACAAACATTTTATCATATTAGTCTTTATGGCTAAGCAAACTAAATAACAATATTTATATATTAATGTGATTATGAAATTTTCTACCTTATTCCTTATGTTTATATACAGGTTAATTAGTTTACAATTATATGATGACAAGAGATGGAATTTGGAAAGCCTAGAAAGAACATTTTGACTATAACAAAAAAGTCAATCTATGATTTCAATAATGTTGCATAATAAATATATAATTTTGGGCAATACATGTTATGGAACACTCTTTACAACATTAAACGATGTTAAAAATAAAAAATACTTGTAGCAGGAAAATTGTAACGAACTATAGCATACACCAGGCATCTAGCAAGCAATCAGCCTATTTTTTGTAGTACTTCCATCTCTCTTCCTTGCAAAACAGAGTCACAATTATTAAAATTTCAAGAATTGAAAGATCCCAAGTTTATGTTTTTAAATTTGAATGGAAAATGACTTACCAGCCTAACACTTCTTCTTTAGGAAGATTCTTGTTGTATAAAGGAAGCTCAAATAGGAAACCTACTTTCAACCATGAGGGCAAGCTTCCATACACCATAGGAGGCAGTGGAATGAGAGGACTGAAGAATTTATAAAAACAATTCATTAAGTTACTTGTCTCATTTCATTTCCAAAAGATTTAAATGCAAGAAATAGCAATATACTTTCATTGATTTGTTTGTTATAAGATCATACTTTCATTTTTTTTAATATTATAGATATAGTTGGATGGTTTTTCAAAGTATAATGTCATAATAAGAAAAAAGTTGAAAGTACAATGCTGTGATTGACCTTGTTGTGTTTTTATAATGTCGATATGCAGCCACGTTTCCATACTTCTTATCTGCAGATACCTGAATCCATGTTTTTGACAAATTTAAACAACTGAACGATTACAATATTTATTAAAAAAATAATAATAATAAAATAGCGAACCTCAAGCAGGGGTATCCCCACTAACGAAAAGAAGCAACAATGTTAAAAACACTGGCCCAAGTACAACTAGCCATTCAGCACCATCTAAAACAGGGGTAGACCCCACAAAGATTCCCCACCAAAGAAAAATCTGCATCCCAATTCCCAAGATTTATTTAATTCTCAACATCTATATGTAAAAAAAAAATAAACAAATAAATGACTTAACCACTAACCTCGCCAAAGTAGTTAGGATGACGAGAATACCCCCATAATCCAGCATCACACCATTTTCCTCTGTTTGCTGGAGAATTTTTGAACATTAACTTTTGTTGATCAGCTGTGGCTTCAATTGTGAGGCCCACAGCCCACATAATCCATCCAATTATGTCACGAGCTTCAATTCCTGGATTTGAGTCACTTGCATTCACAATTGTCACAGGTAAACTTACTGTCCAAACCCATACAGCCTGTTATATAATAACGTAACAACAATTATTATTTAATATTTACTAAGAAAAATATATATCTTTTTTGATTCTGGAAGTAAAATTTATTTATATACGTAACACAGAAACCTGAAAGATCCAGAAAACCGCCAATTTTCCCAAATTTTCACGCATCTCATCAAAACGTCGATCTTCTCCCCAATTCAAGATCCTGATAAGATATGTGAAAGTGGAAAGCAATGAACAAAATGGATTTTTGATTGTTTGAGAATGAACAATTGTGTATTCATACCTCATTAATAGAAACACTCCAAGGCGAAGACCCCATACTACAACAAAGAAGCTCAAAACCACCTGAATGAATATTGATACATTATTTTTAGAAATATAAAATTATGAAGAAAAAATAGAAAACAGAAGGGCTGGTTACCTGTCTAACGTGCCATGATCCTTTTAGAATCAATGTTAATAGAGCGAGTATGACAAAATTTGTGCTTCCTGTTATTTTTAAAAAAATGTAAGGTTTAGATCAGACTGAGTAAATTCTTCCAAAGTGATGAATTTCAGCACATGCCTAACATATCATGATTAGTGTATCTTGGTTTCTAACAAAAAGGAAAACAATAAACATGAATTTCATCTATACATGTTCAAATAAACTTGGGTACAATCAACTGATCAGAAATAACATAAACCACAAACTGAGAAAGGTTAATATAAAACAAGTAAAAAGCAGATAAGAATTATAGATATGGAAGAGTTTTGGGTTCAGCTGAAAAGTAAAAGCCTCCCGCTGTCTTGGAGAGAGAATTTACAGAATACAGGTATGGAGTGAGTAAAATTGAAGCAATGGGAAAAGGTATACCTGCAAAATCAGTGACTTTATCGAATTTGAGAAGTGCTGTGACTACGAAGAACGATAACTGATAGCAAAACTGCAAGGAAACAGAATGATTAGAGTTATTCACAATATGATTAAAATGCAGGAGGGAGAGGGTGTGTTTGTACAGTAACGATGGCTGTGAGTGCCAAGAAATGAGAGTCGATGACGGTGCCCATGACAATTGATAATCTTCTTCAAGCTAACCAAGTTTCCTCAGTGTTTTCATATAGAAGAGAAGAGAAAAATCAAGTCATCAATGGGGATTTCCGTTGACGATATGAGCGCTCGTGGACCGGAGAAGACGGATGTGTGGTTGAGGACTTAACGCGACGGATCACCCAATACCGCATACGTTTGGATTCGAATAAATCGTCCCTCGAATATCATCCAACTTCGCCTTTCAGTCCCTATTTACTTTTTCTTTTTTCTACTTTCTTATTAATAGTATTTTTATATTTTTATTTTAGGAAAACCATTAATATTTACAACATTATATTGAAAAGTCGTTATTTTATTTTTATTTCAGGAAAAAACCACTTATAGAACATTCTAGAAGACCATTTATATTTAAATATTATTTTTCAAGAAAAACAAATTTTTATATTTTTTTTTCATTTTTGAGCATAAAAGAGAGCATTAAGTCATTAACCATTAGGTTGAGAACGATTCGCTTTTATTAAAACCAAACTGAATAGAAAGATTTGGTTTTTGAGTTTGGAGAGAGCAAACTATTGTTTTTCGATTTATGTTTCATGTGGCTTGTGGTGATTTAGTAAGACATGTGGAAGATATGGTAGATAATATATCGACTTATGTTCAAATCCTGACACTACTCAGCCATTGTGACCATGAAGGTTCGTTTGCATTGACTCCAGGGCATGATACATAACCTCATGTTTGTAGCGGGGGATTAGTCGGTACGTAAAAACTGGCCTGAAACCCTCGTTAGAGAAGGTTCTTTTCCAATAAAAAAAAGGATATTAAAATTTAACAAAACACATAATTTCCTAAAATATAATACAAGACTAGGCCAACACATACTTATTATTTTATTTTTCATTAGAATTCCCTAAATGCATACTACTTGTACTTTTTAACGTAATTGATCAATTAAACATATACATAAAATAAAATGATATTTAGGTGCTGTTTGTTTTTTTGAAGCCAAAATATCTGCAGTCTGCGGACCACATCTGCAAGCCTCTGCGGCAGAAGAGGTTGACCAAATGTCTGCAGTCTGCAATAAGAAGACTGTTTGTTTTTAACGTCTGCAGCTGTTGAAATAAATTGATTTGTTAAACTTAATTTCATGTTATAAACATTAAAAATGCATTTTCAGCAAAAAAAAAAAAAAAAAAAAAAACTCCACGGTGGCCCATGTCTACGCCAGGAAGACATCGCGCAGACGTTTTTGATCTGGGCACTTTCAAAAAAACAAACACTCTGCGAGGACATATGTATGCGCGTTGTCTGCGTGGCGCAGACAAAAGTGGTTGCGCAGATCTTCACAAAAAAAAAAAAAACAAACAACCCCTTAGTATTTTAGTTTGGTTGTTGGCTTTTTTTTTTTTCTGCAAATTAGAAAAAAAAAAAGAGCATATTATACATTTTTGATCAATTTAGAATAGCCTATTTTTAACAAAAATGTCATTTTTTGCAAAACACAAAATAAAAAAAATAAAAATCCTTATTTATGTTTTGCAAAACACAAAAACAAACCTTATTTTTATTAACTCTTGGCGACCATTTTTTTTTTAATATCCCTTGTGTTTTTTTACTTGATTTGGATAGGGGTGACTTTGTTTTTTACTTAATCTGGATAAAGCCATAAAGGTGACTTGAGTGGTTGTTAAACCAAAATAAACATGAAATTAATGTTTAAAACACTAACAATTTGCCCAACACATTTCACCTTAAAACTGTTTAATTTACATTTGTTTTTTGGAATAATAAAATAGACATTTAATCTTACATTTTGAAGTATATAATATTTCATCCAAACAAATATCATTATTCACTTTGTCACTGTAACGGTCTAACCCACATTTTCTTATTTGTCATATCTAGTTATTTTTAGAGAAAATGGATGGTTACAGCACTATTTATTTCAAATGTTTAAAATATCAAGCGAAATTATTAAGACTGTGTTTAGTTACGAATCATTTTGAGTTTCAAAAAAACAAAATCAATTTTTATTTTTAATTTTTATAGAAAATTTGAAAAACATGTTTAATTAAAACTGGTTGAGTTTCATTTTTTTATTTTAAAAAATTATAAAATATGTTTAGATGTTTATTTTCTATTGTTTCATTTTTCAGTTTTAATTATTTCAAATAACATACATACCCCCACTTTTACCCCACCCACTTAATCCCCTCTCCCCATGACACCCATATCTACCCCACCCCCACCTATTGTAACACCCAAAAATTTCAAACAAATTTAAACTTTTAAAACATGTCAAGTTCATCAAAACATTACAACTTTGTTTTCAAAATATTATTTATCAGAGTATTCCCAGAAACATAAGCATAATATGAGGAGCTGTACGATCATGCCTTCGCCTTCCCGCGATCCCCTGATGTACCTGAAACAATAAACTGAAACTGTAAGCTCGACAACTTAGTGAGTTACCCCCAAAATACCGATACACATACAGTCCACATAACCATGTCAACAATAACATATCATAACAAACTGAACAGAACAGCACATAACGGGTCCACAACCCTACAGACTGTAATACCCACGAGCCCACAATACGAGTCTCCCTTAGCCCGTAACTGGAATGCTCCTAGGGTTTATTGGCTACCGCACGAAGCAGTACAACCTCAACCCATCCCATAACAAACACATAACATAACCACTGAGCATGCAATAATCACATAACATCACAGGTAGTCCTACAGATCCACCTAACTGGCATAACCACTGGCATGCAACACTAACTCGTACTCAACCTCTAACACTGCTAGGATAATATATCCAATGGGCCGGCCTTGGTGCCTTAGACCCCTTAGTATAGTGAGGATCACTCACCTTGCAACTGTCGTCTGAAACTAGAAAGCTCAACTCTCGGATCTCCAACACGAACTCCACCACCTATAGTTATCATAAAACCCCTTTTTCATAAATCTCCAAATTACCAGAATACCCTCAGAAGTCAATTGGTCAACCCTTGGTCCAAGTCAAAGTCCACAGTCAAAGTCAACAGTCCATGTTGACTCGACTCGTCGAGTGCAGTTCACCGACTCGTCGAGTCCTTCCTAAACTCGAGAAGTCGTGAAATCCTTGATTGGCTCGTCGAGTTCCCCTTTAACTCGTCGAGTTCATACGTGTCCATGAATTGGGAGAAACCCTAGCCGACTCGCCGAGTCTTCGAACGACTCGCCGAGTTGTTCATCCAACTCGTCGAGTTCATGGCCATCTTCAACGGGCTCGCCGAGTTGTTCCTCCAACTCGTCGAGTCCTTGCAGACCTTCATCCATGCAGACGCTTTTTAAGCCATGGCAAGGTTCCAGATTACAGATCCAAGCTTCTAAGGCATGTTTATCACGTAAAGTTGCAAACTTTACGCACATGCAAGGCTCTAAAGGCCCTAAATGACCAATCTAAGCTTCCAATGGAGCTTTGCACCTTGGGAGAGTCTCATTCTTGCACAAGCTGGAAAACTTTATGGACTAAGAAGCCCAAGGGAGCTCAGTTCTGAAGTTACAACTTCAGATCTTAGCTTGCACACAAGAATAGCTTCCAATCATACCATGAAAACCCTAGAATTGTCCAAAGAGGGGATCTAGAATAAAATGAGGTTAGGATAACGATTATACCTTCCAGAAGATGCCCAATAAGGTAGATTTCAGATCCCACAAGCTCCTTGCTTCTGAATACTTGCTTTCCAAGCTCCTTTCTCCACAAAATCCTCTTCCAAGCTCAAAATACACAAATGGAACACACACACTCGATTAGGGTTTGAGAGGGACAAGAAACAGTAAAAGGGAAGGCTGGAGGAGGCCAATGATCCTTTAAATAGGGTGCAAAACCCCGAGATTTAGGGTTTCATCTGCCAGCTCCTACTCGTCGAGTCCCTTCTTGGACTCGGCGAGTAGGTCATTAAAATACGTGGACCAACCCGCTGCTACTCGACGAGTAGGGCAATCAACTCGTCGAGTAGCCCTTGAAATCAAGAAACTCACACATTAAATCAATACCTGAGAATCGGGGCGTTACAATTCTCCCCCACTTGAACTAGACTTCGTCCTCGAAGTCTGTTGCAGCGAATAACTCCGGGTAATGCTCCCGCATTTCAGCCTCCGTCTCCCACGTCCACTCGGACCCCCTCCGATTCTCCCACTGTACTTTCACCAAAGGTATCTCCTTATTCCTCAGAATCTTCATCTTCTTCTCCAGTATGGCCACAGGCCTCTCTACGTAATTCAGGCGTTCATCAACCTGAATATCATCCAGCGGCACCACCTCCTCTTGATCCATAATGCACTTTCGCAGTTGGAAAACGTGGAAAGTGTTGTGTATCCGACTAAGCTCCTCCGACAGCTCTATCCTGTAAGCTACCTTGCCCACCTTGGAAATGATCCTGAACGGCCCAATATATCGGGGACCCAATTTTCCCCTCTTCCTGAAGCGGATCACGCCTTTCCAGGGAGAGACCTTCAGGAGTACCATGTCACCGACCTGAAACTCTAACTCGGAGCGGCGTCGGTCGGCGTAACTCTTCTGCCGACTCTGAGCGGTCTGCAGCCGCTGCCTAATCTGTTGAATCCTCTCGGTAGTTTGCAAGACCACCTCCGTCCTACCCAACACCCTGTGGCCAACCTCGCCCCAACAAACTGGGGTGCGACATCTCCGCCTGTACAACAGCTCGAATGCCGGGGCGCCAAGGCTAGAATGATAGCTGTTGTTGTAGGCGAACTCCGCAAGCGGTAGGTGAGAATCCCAACTCCCACCGAAATCAATGACACACGCCCTCAACATGTCCTCGAGGGTTTGAATAGTCCGTTCGCTCTGGCCGTCTGTCTGCGGGTGGAATGCTGTGCTGAAGTGTAACCGCGTGCCCAGCTCCTCGTGAAACTTTTGCCAGAAGCGGGAGGTAAACCTGACATCCCGATCAGAGACAATGGAAACGGGAACCCCATGGCGAGACACGATCTCGCAAACGTACACTTCGGCCAATTTCTCAGCCGATGAGCTCTCCCGTATAGCCAAGAAATGGGCACTCTTGGTCAATCGATCCACGATGACCCATATAGCATCAAACCCCTTCGTCGTCCTCGGCAACTTGGTAATAAAATCAATCGTGATATGTTCCCATTTCCACATGGGAATCTCTAGAGGCTGCAGCTTTCCATGCGGCCTC